TGGAAAATTTCTTCATGTATTCATTTGTCATTTGTATTTCTTCTTTTGAGTCTATTATTTGTCCATTTACTAATTTTACTGTTGTTTGTTAGCTAACTTTTGGAACTCCTCCATTATTCTGGACATTAACCTGTATCCAGTGAAGGCTGGGATGGAGATAGTACCTGGTACTAGGGTAATGTGAGGAAGAAATGACACAATGTATGTGACACATTTTATATCAAGTACAGGTAATAATCATGCCCAATAGCTAACTGCAAATATTCTGGAGTTTGGAGTAAATGTTTAAAATGGTCTAAAGTCTTCTCTCTTATTACATCCATACAGTAAAGGCTCTCCAGTCATTCATCAATTAACTCCAGGCATTTTATTAGGTAACTATTAAGTGTCCTATGCAACAATGGTGTAGGGCAAAATGAGTAGTAGACATAGAAAGCGACAGCTGGGACTAAGCAGAGGACAGGTTATTGAGGAAGCAGGTGAAGAAGTAACATGATCAAGGGGAGTAGAAGTTCCTGCCATATACACTATTTCCTGGATTCCATCTGAAGAAAGAGTATATGTTCCTCTTGTAATGCTTAGTTCCTTAACAATCACAGTGTGTTCCTCTATTGTATCACCTTGTCATTTCTGTCATGATTTCCTGTGCTTGGAGATTCTGGTCGGGCATTCTCCCTTTTTGTGGTACAGAAATGTTTTCTCAATGCTGTCACAAGAGTTTCATAATCATTATTTCATTATACAGGTCAAATACTGATTCTAAGGCACAGCATGCCCATTTGTTCTAAGTTATTTTAAGTCTTTTTATCATTCTGCAGTTTATTTTAAACCCAAGTATAGGAATGAACTTGAGATAGAGAGAAAACAATATTATGAACTTACATCACTTTTTAACATGTAGGATAATTAATGGTTTAAATGAAAGTAGCATGTGAAGATGCTTTGACAAATTAAAAAGATAATTTCAGTTACCAAAAAAAGCAAATGATAACAAGTCTTGGCAGGAAGGTAGGGAATAGGGAAGCTTTGGACATACAATAGCAATGCAAATTGGTGTTTCCTTTTCATTTTGGAAAACAGTATAGAGTTCCTTAAAAAAAAGAAAAATCTTTAGCTGTACGCTTGTGGCTCATGCCTGTATTCCTAGCTACTCAGGAGGCTGAGATATGAGGATCAAGGTTCAAAGCCAGACTGGGCAGGAAAGTCCATGAAATTGTTATCTCCAATTAACCACCAGAAAACTGGAAGTGGCTCTGTGACTCAAGTGGAAGAACGCTAGCCTTGAGCTAAAGAGCTCAGGGACAGTGCCCAGGCCCAGTGTTCAAGCCCCATGACCCACAAAAAAACAACAACAACCCAGAACTGTTATACAATTCTGGACATCCATCTGAAGAAATTAAAATAATTAACTTAAAGAAATGTCTGCACTCTCATATTGTACTATTGTTCATAATAGCCAAGATAAGGAAGTAAACTAAATGTTCATTGACAGATAAACTGTAACATATATACTATCTGGAATATTATCCAGTCTTCTTGTGTGTGCGCGTGTGCGTGTGCGTGTGCACGCACCAGTAGTAGAACCTGAACTCAAGGCTTTGTGCTCTTGCTTAGCTCAAGGCTAGCACTCTACTATTTGAGTAACAGCTTCATTTCTAGCAAGGATCTCAGCTTCCTGAGTAGCTAGGATTACAAATATGAGCCACCAGCTCTGGGCTTGTGTAGCCTTATAAAATGAAGGAGATATTGCCATTGGAGACAAAGTGAAAGGACTTAGAGGATATCCTGTTAAGTGAAATAAGCCAGACACAGAAACATATAATTTAACTTACATGTGGAATCTAAAATAATCAAGATCACATAAGCAGAGAGCAGAATGGTGCTTGCCAGAAGCTGAGGAAAAGGAGAAATGGGGAGGTGATGGTTAAAAGGTACAAAGTTCCACTTCTGCAAGACTAGTAAATTCTGGAGATATCCTATATGGCATAGTGCCTCTAACAATACTATATGGAAGACTTAAAATACTCAAACATTGGCTTTCTGTTGTGTTCTTACAAAAACAAAACAAAAGCCAGAAACAAACCTACAATAATAAAAAGTGTGTGGAGAAAATTTTGGGGAGGTGGTGGATATATTTATGACTTCTCGGGTATTTATTTAGCTCCAAACTCATTGAAATATATTGACTAAACATGCACTTATACACCAACCATACCACAATGATTTTTTAACCCTTTGCTTATCTACATATTTTTAACTTTCTATTGTATTTTTTCTTCTGTTCGATTAAACTAAAAGATAGTTTGTATCTAGGAAAACCATTCTTTTTTGTGTGCATTGATTTAGTAGTGTCTCTACTACTGAATTTTCTTAGTAAGTTAAAAGTACAATCATATTGTCTGT